GGGTCATCACTACCCCACTAGGAGGGGAGTTATCTGTAGCGGTAGGTAAATCCCCAAAATAAATAGCTCTGTAAGTCTTCGACATTGGATGCTGACCACATTAGTTTTAATGGAATTACCTAGCTGAAGGCTCTCGGTTATGCATCCGCACCAGATCACGAGTGGGAACGCCGTACTCAACATCTACTGAGATCGCTAGCCAGATTATTTCAGACGACCCTCGATATACTGATAGCCTATCAGATATATGTTCGAGCATTCTCGCTTCTGTCTTTTGATTTCACTAGGTGGGTACGATTCATATTAGAAAGTGTTACTGGTTAAAGCGTTGTCAAACTCCAAATACCTGTGGTATCTTCAACGTCATAGTGGCTCTATGCAGTAATCACGGTAGCCACAAAACATGAGTACGGCAAAGGAGCGATATGAGCCGGGTATCAACTTTAATGTGTGACTTCGACATAAGTCAAGAGAACCGCGCAATCGACTGCCTACTACCGATCGAACTGCATCTTTGAAGCCTGTTACCCATCAACTGGTTAGGACAACACAAAAGAACATCAGCACCAAGTTAGTGTGAGTCTATCCTTGTTTATTGCTTATTTGCTTTTTACTCTTCTGCACACCATGTTGACTAGCAATTAATATTATTCCTACACTCGTTACCTAATCTACAACCCATATACTTCTATACTTTTCCGCCCGTTTTATTAAACTACTATCCTACATTACACCCCTCTTAATGCTTATACTTTAATAGGCAAACTATACTTTATACTATAGTCAATTAAAGCACTGCATCGATGCCTTACCCACAGTTCATAATTTGTAACTGTCTGATAAGCTTGTAAAATGGTACTTATAGAAATAGTGTTTTCCAACAGATTGTGAAACAGAGGATTGTGTGAGGTATATATCCAAAAATAAGCTTAAATGTGCCTAACATCACAAAAGGAGGGAGGGTGGAGTTACTGACCAGCAAGCATTGATGGTGAGGGCGATGACTTCAATCCACCCGTGTTTGTGGAGCAGAACATTTTGTATGTATCAGGCTCTCTATAATTGAGCATAAGTCAATCAATCTGTGATACAGATTATCTCCCTACGCTCACCACTCAGACTCATGTTTCCAATTTTATACTTGGTTAGCTATTCTACTAAGACAACCTATAACATGCTAACTCGAACTTTTACACATGGATTGTGTGGCTGGCATTGGGTGAAAAAAAAGAAAGAAAAAATCAGACAACAAAAGACATAGTCATTAATATTTTCAACACTTCACTCTCTATATGCACACTCCCTTCTAATAGACAACTTTCCCTGTACCAACCTTAACTTCCCTTCCTTCATATGAGCTTACTCCAACTTGTTGAACATCACAATTCATTGTTCTTTATTACCACATTCTCTTGAATGGAGCCTCTGACTTTATTTCACTCTAACAAGAGATAATATGAATTTAATCTAATTTATTATACCTTTATCTGTTCTACGTAATGTTAAGCAACGTTTGGAGTCCATATCCAAGTGCCTTGTTGCTCTGCTAATTCTCTTTTTTATTTTCTTCAGAATCTTGCTCCGAGGGCACAGCTATGAAACTTCTAACGTCTGGAACAAACTTGACGTAAGCGTCAACTCAAGGCCATGGTTTATAACAAGCGCTCTACGAGACTACTTTATAACAACTATAAACTTGATAAGTTAGGAAGCATGCTATGCTCCAACAAATGTTATAATTTGTAGATCATACCTGTAAAAATGGCATGTACCTGCTCATGCAGAAATATATTATTATTATTATTAAGTTGGGGGGAGTTACACCATTCCCGTTCGACTGGAGTAGACCCCAAGTCACACACAGATCACCTACCTCGATGATCAATGCACTCCTATTCTTATTATCTTCTTACAATATGGGCGCTCAAACTCTGCAATACACAGTTGATGATAAGATGTTGATAGAGATATTAGTCAATGACGTGCGCCTAATCTTTCGATACGCTAGACCTTTTCTTTTTGCTGATGACATAAGAGTGGTTTATTCGTTCTCACCTCGTACAAAGGAAGATGTATTTCGGCAGTGACTCAAGACAGACAACTTGTACGAATGAGATGCGTCGTGGATTCTATCACTAAATGTTGGCAGAGGTGATTTCATTTAAATTGGCTGCAGCTATAACCTAAATCTGGTTCTACACAAACACGTACTGAACACTATTCATGACTTCCATTTAATATATAGTAACATTTTGAACTTTTCTGAACACACTGAATCTCAAGAGTCCAAATCGTGAAGACTTGTAGTGGCATTGAGCCCTAACACGAGACAATATGTGAAATAGATATTCAACATTCTACGCGGAGAAATGCCCAAGGATGGAGAAGGCGGGACGATGAATTGAATAAGTTGGAGTTGATCGTATGGCATGGCTCGGCCTCGCGGGCGTGGTCCCTGCTAAATGTTACCTTATATCTTTTATGCATACTAAATATATTGCTCTATCTCCAGCCTAAGACTGTTCTCTATCATGCATTGGTAATTATTAGGATACAGTGAGTTGATGTAAATGATGTGACTTCCAAGTAAGATCTTATTGATTAGGCATATATATATATAATCGTATTTCTGGGGAAAACAGAAATAATTACACCAAAGAATTTTGAAGATGCCAAAAGTATTTGGAGTTTGAAAACACCTTAACCAGTGACGCTTCCATGATTGAAATATGCCAACCAAGGCATAATAAATTGGGTTAAATTCGTATAACCTCTTGTTGGTGTAAGAAGAAGTCAGAGGCTCCAGACGAGAGAATGCAGTAATAAAGAACAATGAGTTGTGATGTTCAACAAGCTTGAGTAAGCTCAAATGAAGGTAGGAAAGTCAAGGTTAGTACAAGGGAAGTTTTTTATTAGAAGGGAGTGTGCATATAGAGGGCGAAGTGTTAAGAAAACTAATAACTATATATTTTATTTACTAATTTTTTTCTTTTTTGTCCATCCGATGCCAGCCACACAATCCTAGTACAAACGTCCTATTTAGCAGGTTGTAGGTTGTTTTAGTAGAATAGCTAATCCAGTATGAAATTGGAAACATGAGTCTAAGTGGTGAGCGTAGGAAGACAATCTATATCACAGATTGATTGACTTATTATCAATAATAAAGTAATCATTATTTGACACAAATACCACACGCACCCCATAGAGATCTGATGTGGACACGCGACTTAGCGCCTTCAGCTAGGTAACTTCATTAAAACTAATGCGATTAGAATCGAACGACGAAAGCTTAGAGAGCTATTAATTTTCCGGACTTATTTACTTCCAGGGATCACCCATTCACTATTACGGTAATGATAAACCTAAGACATAACCGGTCAGAAGCTTGAGCCCAACGAGTTGGTCGTTGGTAAACAGTCTTCTGATAGCTTACTATGTTCAGTAGCGTTTGGTCGTCTTTCCTTACTATAAGGGGTCACGTCGTACAATATAGTAGTTAAAAACAAGTACAATGAAGATTGCGATCCATCGTAATCTTCGTCGGTTTCTTATCCTTTCCAGCCTTTCTGGTGAAGAACAAAAGATAAATTGTGAGTGCATGTCGAATTACACTCGTACGTGAATAACGACGCAAAATGTGAGAAAGAATAAATAAACCGGGATACTTGTGTATTATTAACATGCGACAACGTATAACACACTTTTCCACAGTGGTATTCTTTGCATGTTCTGAAAAAAATTTAAACAGATGTGAACACACTAGAAAAAGCACGTTTGTTTTTGTTTTTGACACCACAATACAAACAAAATATCATGCTGCGTTTTACGCACAGTTCTCGTTTAAGGGTTCTAAAATCCACAATACTTTTCCAGAGAAAGTTGTTTGGGCCGGTTATCAGATACTACCGAAGTTTCGTCGTGATTGTTGATTAGCGGGTTAGGCCTCGTAGTTGTGAGACTCGTGTTATTCTAGTGTACAGAAAGAGAGTCAACATCACTAGGTTTTTCTTATAAATACATAGCCTTAAGACGGTTAATGCTGACGTTATCGTTAGTTAAACTTTCATCAACGACAGATCATTCAGGTTTTCGGTAAAGGACTTCGAAGGGTCTTTCGTTTGTCATTTCAATACGTTGTCCTAATAAATCACGACTCACGAAAGCGTGTATACTACTTCGTGGGGCAGGTTGAACGTAATCACTAGTTGATTGAGGTCGAGTGAAAACAGGTTTATCTGAACGCATTGCATTTGTAAGCCTTCTTGTGTAGTAGTCTAGATCCAAATTCATTGAACGAGATGAAGGATTCACAAATTCTCCTGAAAGTCAAAGTTTCGTTCCGCAAACGAGTTGAGCTTCAGTAAATTCAGCGCCAGCCTTCAATGCACTTCCGATACTGAGTAACATGAGTGAAAGTGCGTCATCCCACTGTGACGCTTTTGCCGTTTAGGGTGAAGCTTTCAACTGCCAGTGAAATTGTTCTAACAACCTGTTAGCTTGTGGATGGCAGGTGGTCGTTCGGAATCGTGGGATTCTCAGGAGTGTGATAATACAGCGGGAAAGTCCATATTCGAACTGACGTTCACGGTCTGAAGTGATAATTGGAGGACAGTCGAAGTTTGCTACCCATCGTTCGACGAAAACATGGGCACTGTTTTGTCAGTAATGTCCTTGATCGGTACTGTTTCTGGCCTTTGTGTGGAACGGTACACGTTAGGAGGTAAAAGTGTTCATTTTATTTCGATAAGAGTCCTACTAAATCCAGATGAACATGGTCGAAACGAGCGTTTGGAGTTTTGGAAGATCCCAACGGGCACTTGTTGTATCTCACCATTTTACCGTAGTCAACCAAGTCCTCTCACCAGTCAGATACAGATCTTAAAGAACAGATAGTTCGCTACTTCCCACAAGCAAAGTTTAAGTATTAGAGTTTGTTTTTATTCGCTACTGACCCAGGTCTGTTGCTTTGACCTAGTGGATTAAAGCCGCCTATTTCGTTTATGATCATGACCATGGTGAAATCAGCCGTAAAGAAGGGACGGAAAAGATTGACTCACCAAGAGGATCCGAAAATTAGGGATGGTGTTGTTAAACTTAGAGGTTTGTTGCTATCAAAGTCTCGATGTTTTTAGAGAAACTAACAAGCAGACAAAAACAAAGGCTTAAGAAGCGTCTACTAAAATCCGATGAACTTGTTGAAAATAGAACGCCTCAAAAGGTACTTTTTGTTGATGACCTTCTCTCTATTAGGTTTTCGAGTCACCTGACAGTCTGCCTGCGACTCAAAGTGGATTTTTTGAAAATGATGGTGACGAACTTATGGTTGACGATTTTGGACGTCTATCGGATTTGGAAGATGAAGACATTAAGACAAACGCGGATTTTGTAGAACCTGTAGATGAAAAAGAAGATATGATAACCAACCTCACTTCCGAAGATGCAGTTGAAAAGTCTGTAATGGATTCCAGTACATTAGACCAACGCATTCGGAACTGGCTTTATATTCTCTCCGATTTCAAAAACAGAGCACCTGCAGACCTCAGTAGGAGTTTGTGTGTTCGAACTCTAATAAGTGACTTATGTTCTCGTTATTCGTACAATCAGTTCCTTATGGTGAAACTTCTTGATTTGTTTCCCAAAGAGGTAATAAATAATCGAAGTCAAATTCAGTCGCAGATTGTTGAGGTTTTAGAAGCTAATGAAGTCGACAGGCCAGTGACCATTCGCACAAATACATTAAAGACACGTCGCAGGGAATTAGCTCAAGCAAGTCCTCTTTGTTCATATAATTAGATAGGCTTTAATAAATCGCGGTGTAAACCTTGATCCTTTGGAACCGTGGAGCAAAGTTGGACTTGTTGTTTATTCATCACAAGTACCATTAGGAGCAACACCAGAATATCTTGCCGGTCATTATATACTTCAGGGGGCTAGTTCTATGCTTCCTGTAATGGCCTTGTCTCCTCAGTTAGGCGAGCGTATCTTGGATTTGTGTGCTGCGCCTGGTGGGAAAACAACTTACATTGGCAAGTTTTGAATTTTAGTTGATGTACTAATGAGCCGAAATTTTGGAACTATTGGTGTATCTTCAGTACTACTATTTATTGTGTTTTTATTAACTTTTGTTATTTGAGATGGTTACCTGGAGCCATTACAGGGAATTGGTTTTTGCTGTTTCGGGTATGTCCAATTCTCGAGATAGCATTATATCACTCAAGTTTCGGAAAATGTTAGATGTATTTACCGGACTTCTGATTTTTAAACCCTGTGGTACTAAACTTAGTCCTATCACACGCGAGTGATACTTCCCATGTACTAATAATTCTACAGGGTTTGCTTATTCATATCTGTAAGATATGTACGAATCTTTACTCTTATCCGTGTCGACCTCAACTTTGCCGGACGGAATCGGTGAACTGTTTGTTCCTTGGGATCTGCGTCCGGGCAGTTAGAGTGAGATCTTAGTTTCGGAGGGGTATGATGTTTTAATATTCCTCATAAAAACTGAGAAGAGTGACAATTTAGTTAATAATAGATGTGCTCAAGGGACAGCACTCAAAGTAATCTCCCTTACTACTTACAGAATTAAAGTAACCGTTGAACCTTGAGAGATTCAACCTAAGAGTAGTGAGTTCCGCAGCTTACTGATCAGAACTGAGGAAAGGTGTACACGAGTCTGATATGAAACATCAGAAGCAAGAACAACGATTAAAGCAAAAGTTTACAAGTTTGTCATTCTTATAAGCTATTCGCAATCTTCAGCATTTTAACGTCAAGATAATGAAGTTCAGCATACTTGTGGAATTTGACTTCTTTGCCCACCGTTTTTGATGATTGTTGCATAGATATTTTTCAGTCTGTATTAGAGATCTCCTTAATTCTAAGTTCGTACGAGCTCACAGTTCATCAAATTAACTAGTGCTCTATTTCAAAACACCGCAGGTTTTATGCTACAGCTTCTAAACGCTCTATTTCTCTAAACAGTTGAGTATCCAACCCTGTGGTCGCCTGATTGTTGTTGCAAATGATCGTCAACTGGAAAACCAGCTTATAAAAATTACTTTCTGCACTTTTCGGATAACCAAGGACTGCCTCCCGTATGTTGTATCAGAAATAATCCGGAGTATTTTGTTACTGCTGACTTGTTATTTCAGCTACTCTATTTTTTTCTTTAGGAATTTCACAATCCTGTGCTGGTATAATGTGTCAAATCCAACTGATGTACTTAGGTGTTAGGTTTTACATTGCCTAGAACTGACCGGTACGTATAAAATTTAAGCTAATCATCAGTCAGTGTACACACATTATTTTAGTAGCAGTATATTATTTAAACGAATTTTTTGTAAATGGGCTAGAGTAGTGAAGTAAGATCATTAAACAAGCTGGAGTTCATTATTTTGATACTTAACTGCTATGGATGATAACAAAAAATTATTGAGACAAAGTTTTTCCATGTTGTCTTGCCTAAGTTGTAGTGATTGTTTTAGTTATCATCCAGAAGTCTATTTTCTGTGCTATGTTATGCCCTTATTTAATTATTCTACTTTATGTACAGCACAACTCATGAAAAATACCGGCACCATTTTTGCAAATGAAATAAACCCCAATAGAGCCAAAGCGCTGCTTGGAAATTGTCATCGTATGGGTGTGACAAATACTGTCATCTGCACAGAAAATGGGCGGAAATTTCCAAATATTATGTCGAACTTCGACCGAGTCCTCGTAGACGCACCGTGTTCTGGAACTGGTATCATTGCCAAAGATCCTTCTGTGAAAACCACCAAGAGTAATGACGAAATTCAAAAGTGTGTGGAATTGCAGAAAAGGTTACTTGTAGCTGCTATTGATTCCTGCAAAGTTGGAGGTTACGTAGTCTATTCCACATGCTCCATATTGGTAAGTAACCTGTGACTACTAGTAAGAATACTTTTTGACAAGGTTCTGTAGAGAGTAGACTAAGTTTCTAATTGTTCGATATTATGAATATATGGGAGAGTGACATAATGGCTAATTTTATAGTTCGTCATACAAAACGCGAGTTAGAAACCAAACAGTTAGAGCAGCAAGTAAGTTTTCGGAATTTTGATCTCCTTATTTAGTCTGCGCACGAATTTTTAAGTGTTGAGTCCGGAAATTGATACATTGTTAACCAAATGAAACAAGTGTTGTTAACTTGTATGTAATAAACTTGACAGTTTAGTGAACAAGTATAGTCTCGTTTCGACAACCTGTCTTTTAATAGGGATGGACGCTTCATTCCCGTGTTAAGCAGGCTGGTAATCACTAGATTATTCACTTTTTTACTTGAACAAATGTCCCATCTGACAGAGACTTTATTTCCTTTATCAAAGGCTAATTGGGAAAGAATGGCCGATCAAGATATATTTCAAAACGTCAAATTAGAGCCTTGACGTTTGAACTTATTAATGATGCACGCCGAAATACAAGTAGACCAACTTAGAGCTTTTACCCGAGGTAAAAAGAGACGTTAAATAAAATATAGCACAAATGTAAAGGCAATCCATTCAAGCTATTGAAAAAACGTGTAGTGATTATATCCGCCGTGCCGTAGCTTTGCTTACTTCATATTTATGTTGGATGTGTGCAACTCGACTCGAACTATCAAGTTCTTACGTAACAACGATTAATATTACTTAACTCCATAGTTATTCGAGCGTAAATTAAACTAGAGCACTCACTATCAAAGGTATGGATATTTTTCGCCACCTCTAATGTTTTTAACGCTTTCAAGTGTCAGTCATACTCAAAATGAATGATTCCAATCCCAGTTTGAGTCGAATGGATAACCACTTAGATGCTTTTCTTATCTGTCACGAAAATGCTTGGGGCTTGTTTGATAAGGACTCGGAACGTGGCGTTCGGTGTGAAATAAGAAACTCCACTTAGCAAACTTACATTAGTATGAGCTGACAAAACCCAGAATTACGAACGAATATCAGCAGCAAGATTTTTTGGATTAAATGCACTATTGTGACCGTAAATAAATAGAAAACACTTGAAATTGTGATGACTACAATCTGATATCAAATACTCGATTATTTTAACACAGTCATACATCTGAATAATCTGAATATGTACTATCCAAATTGCGAGAGTCCAAGTACTTTTCTAAAACAGACCTACGACATGTTCATTCTTTAATTTCGTTGGATATAATCTTTAGTGAACTAACTATCATTAATGAAATATTCGGCCTTCACGGACACAAGCTACTACCGTTCAGATTGTTTGTTTTATCCGCGGGGTTTCACTAGAATATAACTCAGATTATCGCTGGTTTCGATGGCGTTGAATCGCATCAAGATGACATAATAGTTCATGCTTACAATACCGAGTAACAAAATCAAAATCTTTTAAAGTTATTTAGACACTTTCGCGACGAAAATGTGGTCGTGTGTTGCCAGTTGCGATTTAGTTCTATCGGCTTTCCAGGCTATGCTGAAGATACAGAGGGTTTTAGTCCTGATAAGGGTCATCGGACTCCACTGAAATAAGCATCGTTAACTACGAATATTCCAGCACTCAGATCATGAGTTGGTGCTCATTAGCTTTATCTGAAATCAATTTCCGAATTCGCCAAACTATTATCGTTAATTCTCGACGTGACTTCTAGCAAAGAATTAGTATAGGAACATTGACGCGAGAATATGCTGAGAGGAAAACAAAACAAATACTACACTAAGTAATCATCACACTAAATTAAAACTGAGGTAATTTTAGATGAAAATCACAATGAGTAAAGCTTGTGATTCTGCTATTTCATCTCATCATATCAACTCGGCTTCCTTTCAATGGAATATGCGGGAACAATTTTTCAGTATGAAGTCTATTCGAAAAGTTTTTATTCTTTTTCTGTTCAATGTTCTGACTTCTATGCTCTTCTACTTTGTTATGTACATATGTGATCCTCTCTCCCAAATGAAACAATGTTGGATGCTCATGTACTCACGTCACAAACCGTGTGACTTTATTAACCTCAACTACTCACATTTTAATTAAACGTGCGTATTGAGCTGTGTATTGTTCACAGTGGTTGAAGTATCTTTTCGTACGGTAGTGATATCCACTTTTAATATGAAAAAAATAAAATGTCATTATTCCGTTCAGAATATGAATAATTTTACATTTCAGTGTTTCAGTTACAATTCATATGATTCAGGTCGGTTCACTTTGTCTTTAAAGCATTTAAACGGGACATTTGTGTTTCATACTGAGTGGATTAGCAAATAGTTTCATTGTATATACAAGTATAATGCAAGCTGACTGACCCTGAATAATTGTAACAGGATTTACCACTTTGTATGTGACATTTACTTTTTTCGGACAGACAAAATAAACAGCATAAGATTCATTGGATATTTGTAAGCGACCATGACTGATATTTCACCCCATTCCCATCTAACTCGAGTAGGCTCCTAGTCAATCGACACAGATCATCTACACTTGTGATCTACATATACATGAGTTTAACCACCTATATAAATCTGCATGGTACTCGGTGAGATTGTTTAACAAGTCAAGATGACGGAATTCATCGACGAAAAGTCCATAGCTGACACTTAAACTAACCTTCGTGTGTTGAAAAGATTAACGTACTTTATTCGTTAAGCATGCAGTCCTGTTCTAATCTGAGTAGAATTCAGTTTTCCTACAGCCATGTGCACTCAAAATATATGCAGTATAGACACTGACTCTTCCATGCCTTGATTCTTTAAGTGCGGTGAACAACTAAGATGATTCGATAATGTTAGTGTCATATCCAATAAAAATTGAATTACAAGTAGCGTCTGAGACCTATTGGCGGACCAATATTACCTGTGTATTCTTATGGTATAACTATTCAATAACTAGATTATATATATCTATATCCCCCTTATTATAAGCTTTATTTTGATCTATATATTATCATTATTGTTGTACGGTATACTGTTCCTAAGCTATGTTCAGTTTATTGACTACTGCCTCTCACGTTCACAGCCACTTTCGGCTATATTTTGTACGAGTGTTATTTTCTATTTTATGATGCGTTGCTGTCTGTTTGTTTGGTATATAAACTCAGTATGGCTGAAATAAATGATTCTCGTAATGGAGGCTGTTGTTGGTATTCTGGATTCAGCTAGACGGGCTAGGCGAGAAACGGACCAATAGGACGCTAGGCTGATCAGACCGGTCGAACGTCATTGGTTTAGTACAGTGTAAGGGTGAATAAGTCGTATTTTGATTGGCGAATAGATTACGTAATAACAAGCTGCTAATAAATTCACAACAAATTGGCAACAAGGATTTCGGCAAAAAAAATAATACTACAATTGGTGACTCGGATTTCGGAAAGAAATAAACTATAATAATTGCCGGTGATTTTTTGGAGTTAATATTATTATTATTAGCAGTAAAAATAATAGCGAATTTTTGGAACAGTTGCAGTTGATATTACAGTACCAAGAGCAACAGCACCAGCAGATTTTAGCCTTTCAACGGCAACAATTTAAACAGTTATGAACATACCTTTAACTCAACCAGAAAATAAGGAATTCAGTTATGATGCAGACGATGGTGCAGTTTCGGCCATTTCAAAATCATGCTTCATGGAGGGTTCAGATCCCTTTATACGTAAAGTAAAATGTAATATTGGTAAGTTGTTCGGCTCACAGCAAGACAATATCGTGCTAAATGCACATGAAGTTGAGACAATACCAAATGATCAAGAAACAGATCTTGCATATGAAACCCAGGGTCTAAAATTAAATGTGGCACTGTTGACCCTGTCTAAATCTGAAAATAAACTTCAATCAGAACAAAATCACGGTTCATGTGATATTAATCGAGAAAGCTGTGTGGACTTAAATCCAGAAAATAACTGGAACGATACGGTGAACACAGATGTATCAAGTGATACTCAAGATCATTTAGAGACAGAAACTTACACTGAACCAACTTGTCCGATTTCTCATGACAATGTACCAGGTATGGATTCTCATAATAATGCGCATAATTTTGGTGAAATTCCCTATAAAAATGAGAAATCTATGTCGGCTGAACCAAGCTATGATCGAAATCCTAATACAATTTTGCTAGATGTTGATTTTACTAGCAACCTGATATACACTAATGAGATTCGTAATGAATCTGAAGAAATTGTTATGCCATTTAATACTGTTCATGCTGTTAAGACAGGTCAAAGACAAAATAGTACCAAAAGTCATAACTATCACTCGAAGCTTCCTAAACCTTTAACTGAATGTTGGTATTGTGGTGCGTGGCACTTCTCAAAATTTTGCCTGTTTAAAAATCATAGATGCATTATATGAAATAAAGTTGGCCATAAAGAAATATTCTGACGAATTAGAGAAAGTTGGGGACAAAACAAACGAAGCGTCCTCACCAATACCAAAACAAGTATATAAATAGTACATTTGCTACATTGGCCTTAAGCATAGCACATAAAAGAAGGTATGTGGAATCAATTGTAAAGTGTGTTCATATTCAATTGCGATTGGATACAGCGTCAGATATCACACTACTGTCTAAACAAACGTGGAATTCGATTGGTTGTCCATAAGTATTACCAACTGAGCACCAAGCATGGAATGTATCCGGAGATATATTAAAGCTTGTTGGAATAATAAAATGCTCTGTTGAATTCTGAGATAACTACTTTACAGAAAATTGTTATTTAACGAACAGGGATGATTTAGACCATATTGGTATAGATAAACTAAATCTATGGGATGTACCATTGAGGAGAATATGCACGATGAAAAGCGTAAATAAATCTAGAGATCTACTCACTGTTCATGTAACTAAGAAAGTCATAACAATAGAAGATCTTTACAGAAATATAAAAAATCTTGTTCCAGAATAAATTGGCAAAATTA